TTGGGGTCGGGAAGGAATTTTCCTCCAGGGTAGATTGGCAGAGACCCTGGAGGTTTTTCGCCTTCCTCTGTAGCATTGGGTACGGATCACAGCTGAAAGATCTCTGCATCTTGGGGTCTTCAAAGTATTTGAAGGCTTCAATATCTGAGATATAGGTGAGAGGATTATTCTAGGAGGGTTGGGTGAGATTCTGTGGCGTGCACTGTGCAGGGGGTCAGACTAGATGATCATAATGGTCCCACAGGATCACAGCTGAAAGATCTCTGCATCTTGGGGTCTTCAAAGTATTTGAAGGCTTCAATATCTGAGATATAGGTGAGAGGATTATTCTAGGAGGGTTGGGTGAGATTCTATGGCGTGCACTGTGCAGGGGGTCAGACTAGATGATCATAATGGTCCCTTCTGACCTTAGAGTCTATGAGTCTACAAGAAATCATTAATATCCGGATGTTCTAGGGCCAGGCTTTAAAATTGCTGACTATTTAGTTAAAAGGTGCTAATATCTTTCTAAAAAAAAAACCACACACACAAAATCAATTTACAAAAAAAAAACAAAATTTAACACAGGATTAAGTGATCCTGCTGTGCCCAAGTACTGTTATGAATATATATTTGTTGGGATATGTAAAATGAATATGAGTCTGGAATGGTGGTAAGGATTTCAGCCACAGCAGGCATTACCCTTGGACATGCTCCTTCCCTTTGTTTTTGTAGCCTAGGAAACCAGGTAAGTATGAAGTTGCTCTATTTTGTTATGTCTCTTGCTTATCCTCATTGACTCTGCATAACATATCTTCAGGGTCAAATTTCTTATAATCTCTGTAACCTGTTAGTTTGTAGTATAGGAATGTGTTGATTTAATCAGAAATTCTGTAAATAGTAATTAGCAGTGCTTTTTTTGTTGTTGTTGTTGTTAAAAAAAGGTGCTGATACTCCAGGGGAAAAGTTGTTGAGCTCTGACTGGAGGTGCCGGTACTGTGTACCAGACAGTACCATCACAAAAAAAGCACTGGGTAATTAGGGGCAAGTGTAATTGTATTCATCATTTGCTTATTAATATTTATTTTATGGGAGTTAACATTACTAAATAAGGCTTTAGGGAAAGTAGTGATAGACATATGAATTAACATTCTAAAATAGATAAAAAGGGTGTAATTGGCACCAGGTTGTTGCCACCCAGACATTATGTTGAATGTCCCAGGTAAATGTGCGTAGGCAATGAAGCAGTTCTTTTTACCCCCTATTTACCACCAGTGCTCAATAGGTATCTTAGTATATAAAATAGCTCCTGGGTCTCATAGGAATAATTTCTAGAATACTTCAGTAAAAATTAATAATCAGGAGAGATGTTGATTGCCTGCTTTGCGCATATGCTACTAGATGTTCATGTGTGCAAAACAATTGTATACGCAGTATGCTGCATGAATACACTTTTAGATAAACCCTTATAAATAGCAAATGCCTGTAAAGTGTGTTGATATATTAAAATCAATAGTGCAATGTAAGTGCAATACACCATTTACAGCAGATACAGATTGAACCTCTCAAGTCCGGCACTCTCTGGTCCTGCAACATCCATGGTCCGGCATGATTTCAGTTAGCTGAATGTCCACTATCATGGATGTAGCCAAGTTTCCTGCAGTCTCATCAAGTTTGTTTACAATCACCACTCCTGGCTCGCAATGTTCTGTGCTGTTAGCTCTAATTTACCCTTAAATGTCTTCTAAGAACCCAGTAAGCAGTGAAAGTGTTGATACTGCTGCTAGACAATATTGACCTAACATGATTCAGCAAATTCTCTACCTTCAATAGAAAAAAGCTCTCTTCATACACTACAACAGTCACGTAAAACATGCGGCCTGATCGAATTTTTTTGTGGACCACGACTACATCTTTATACATTATCTAAGTGCAGCCTGCCCAGTTACATTGTTTATAACAGGAGTGGCCAACCTGCAGCTCTTCAGCAGCATGCAGCTCTTTGATTAAGGAAATACAGCTCCTGCTGGTTCTGAGCCACACACCAGGACTGCTCAAGGCCAGCCACTCTGTGGACACGTCCCAGCACTTGCCCATGGCCAGCCACTCAGTGCATACGCCCCAGCGCCTGGAGGGAGAAGCATGTGGCGGCGGCAGCTCCAGGACCCAGGCATTAGGTTAGAGCTGGGGGGAAAGGAGGGAGGAGCAGGAGGGAGGCTTAGAGTGTCTGGCTCTTGGAGAGGGGAAGGGAATTGGGTTAGAGCAGGGAGGCTGGGAGTGCCTGGCTCTGCGGGAGGGGGAGGGCATTAAATTAGAGCAGGGGGAGCTAAAGCACCTTAAACTCAAAGTCTTCATGGATTCAAATAACAATTTTACACATCAAATTATTGTATTATATTCAAACAAGACCTGAAAAGATATTATAGCATATACCTAAAACATGATCTATATTAACAAATAGATATGACTCTCCGATAAAAGTACTTTTTCTTTGGTGGCCCTGAAAGCTATCAGTTTTCGTTTGTGTGGCCCTCAGTAGGCTTTGAGTTTAACATGCCTGCATTACAACATGAACTGAATGAAGAGACTTTAACAGTGAAAAGGTAATTCAACTTCTGTGTCCATTCAACTGTTGATTTCTGTACTCTATCAGTAAAATTATGTCATTTAGTGCCAAAAGTGTGTTTGTGATATTGGACACTTGTTTGTTAAGAACTGGACTTGAACAACTAATTTTTTACACCTCTATCACTGAATAATCATTACAAGGTACTAAGTTTTCCTTAATGCCTAGCAGTGTCTGGGACAAACTATCTGGATTGAGCATAATTTTTCTCTCTTAAAACTATTAATAAACATAGCATACATAATGTATGCAGTCTATTAATAAACCAAGACACAAAAATTCCACTATAGTTAATATACTATGTTAGTGTTCATGTTCTTTGATTTTTCTTATGAATGTCAAATTATAGACTTAAAAACTGAAAAGTATGGATTACACATATGGATTAAAAAAAGAGGATACTTCAGTACCTACTTTGATAACAGACGGCATCTTGGAATTAAGGTTATCATAAGTAAAATGCAGACGAGTTCTGAAGGAGCACTTGTAAAGAAGAGGGTCCTGGTAAAATTCAATTTTACCACTGGCATTTCTCTTATCAAGACATACCGTACAGTCAGAAAAATTAATCACCTTCCTTAGTACTAGATCAGTTGCTTTAAAAAGAAAAAAATATTAAGACAGTTTAAAACCAAGTATAAAACACGAATCATTAATATTCATAGTATGCTAATCTACATTGACAGAAAGAGAAGAGGCTGCCACTATAGTCAGAGTGTTCTCTTATTTAAGATACCAAAAATATTCCTGGCTCACATGGCTAAAATAAATAGATTTAGCAAGAAGAATAATTTTGTAAATAAGCATTTGGTAATATATTTTTCTTTATAGCTTACTAAAATGTTTTGTATTTAAACACACAGTTAAAGTGTGTGTATTATACTTTTTTAATGTTTGTGAATCTTATCTTCAACGTATTTAATATAAAACATTTCTTCAAAGATAATAATCCCATCCATACTTGAAAATATTATTCCAATTTAGCAAAGGTCTCAAATCCCAGAAAATAAATGATTACCCAGAAGTAGTGGAGGGAGTGGGGGCTGCTATTAAGGAAAAGAGAGAAAACTAATATATTTAAACATTACAACTCCAATAATGCACTCAAAAGGTACATTCTCCATTTTAGTTAGTTTAAAAAATAAATGAAGCTAATGGTTAAAAATTGGGCAATAGAGAATTTAGAAAGTGAATATCCAAAATACTCTCTCAATTTTCAGATACTTGATTATAAATCTGCAAGGATAGAAAAAAAAATTTGCATTATCATAAACCAAAAAGTAATTAAATTTCTTTATAGCTACAATTTTGCTAGAAGTAACAGTTTCAGAAAATCCCCAAAACAGAAAATCATCCCACAAAAAGAGCAGTTTCTTTCTAAAAAGATCTTGTACGGCCTTGACTAAGGGGGAAAAAATAGAAATGTTTCCATTAAAGAAGAATATTTTGCAGCCTAACACAAAATAGAGAGTACCCCTCTCTGTCTTTCCTTGGCCCTTTAATCCATTGTTTTACACCCCCAGCCAAGTGGATTATGCATTGAAACCTTTCTTCTTAGAATAACTGGTCCGACTAATCAGCCATGACATATGGCTCTCCCTCCAGATCCTTCTCTGCAATCTAACAACAGCTGAGAAAAGCAGCTAGCCTTTACCTGTTTTTCCATTTTGTAGTCAGTTTAACTTTTAATAAAGTATATACTTCAAAAGATGGTACTTTGGGTGAATTTGGTGATTATAAAAACAAGAACAATACAGGCTAGGAGTCATACACAGTGCAAATTTCCCAACTCACTTTACACCTCATAGCTGGCCTTAGAAAACTACTAGCTACTGTAGTCTATGTACAAGGATAAAACAAGTCCATTCATTTTTCTTCTCCTGCGAGTGTTTGATAGGTTTGATAACCAGACAAAATGCACATTTTTGTCAGGCAAGTTTTTATCCTGCATTTTCTGAAGCACAATAAAATAAAATATTTTATGATAATTTGGCTTCAGATAAAATTTATAATTATAATATTATAACATTATAAAATATATCTAGAGAAAACTGTCCAGTGATTAGCACAATATGCAAAGACGCATGTTCAAGTTTCTCCTCCGCTACATATTTCCTATGTTACTCTGTCAAGTCTCTCTTCAGCCTCAGTTCATCTGTAAAATGAGGGCAATGAGACTTCCTGACCTCACAAGGGAATTGTAAAGATAAATAAAAACTGTAATATACTTAGATAAGAACGGTTTACCTGTAACTGTTGTTCTTTGAGATGTGTTGCTCATGTTCATTCGAATAAGGTGTGCACGCCGCGTGCACAGTTTCTCCTGGAGCGTTTTCCCAAGCGGTATCCGTAGCGCTGGCAGGTCGCCCCCCGGAGAGGCGCCGCTATAGCGGAGCGTAAGTAACCCTGCTGGAACTCCCCCACCTCAGTTCCTTCTTGCCGGATGCTCTGACAAAGGGGGAATCGAATGAACATGAGCAACACATCTCGAAGAACAACAGTTACAGGTAAGTAACCGTTCTCCTCCTCTTCTTCGAGTGGTTGCTCATGTCCATTCGAATAAGGTGACTCCCAAGCTGGACCCTCAAGGAGGAGGGGTCGTAGCTCACGGATAAACATTCATAGACAAGCATTGAAACAAACCAGCAGACAACTTTATTCGGCTAACGTGCAACAGGCAAACAACAGATAAACCAATGCGTGACAGATACAGTTACAGCACAGACCTGAGGACTGCAGTACCCAGTTCAGCATCCCCTCTACCCTGTTGTGCCAGCGCACAATGCTACGTAAATGTGTGGACAGAGGACCATGTGGCTGCCCGGCAGATTTCAAGCATCAGAACCTGTGCCCCAAATGCCACCGAGAACGCGTGTGCCCTGGTGGAATGTGCCATAACACGCGGCGGCTCCCTGCGAGCTAAGCTGTAACGCTCCCTAATACACTAGGCGACCCAGTTGGACAATCTCTGGGTAGTAATAGGGAGCCCCTTCATCCTGTCAGCAAACGCAATAAACAATTGTGGAGATTTGTGAAAAGGCTTTGTCCTGTCAACGTAAAAAGCTAATGCACATTTAGCATCCAGAGTGTGCAGTACTTGCTTCTCAGGGGAGCGGTGAGGCTTCGGGAAGAACACAGGGAGGTATATCTCCTGGGACATGTGGAAGGGCAACACCACCTTGAGGAGGAAGGCCGGGTGAGAGCGGAGCCTGACATTATTGGCTGAGAACACTAGGTATGGCGGGTCAATCGTCAGAGCCCACAGCTCCGAGACCCTGTGCGCTGAGGTAATGGCTAAAATGAAGGCCATCTTGAGGGATAGATGCTTTAAAGAGCAGGTGGCTAGCGGCTCAAAAGGGGGTGACATCAGCCCCGAAAGCACTAGGTTGAGGTCCTATTGAGGAACTGGGGGCCAGACTGAGGGAAACAGTTTGTCCAGACCCTTCAAAAACCTCTTGATCACTGGGCCCGTAAACAGGGATGCGCCGGCGGAGCCCACATGGAAGGCAGAGAGGGAGGCTAAGTGCACTTTGAGTGAGGGGGTAGAAAGACCATTAGACCATAGTTCAAACAGTCTAGTCTGGCCGGAACAGAGGCCATGGACGAGTCCAGCCCCTGTAGGGCCGCCCAGCACATGAAGTGCTTCCACTTAGCCACATAGGACCTCCTGGTGGATGGCTTCCTACTGCCCAGGAGGACCATTTGCACCCCCAGAGAACATTCCCTTTCTGGCTGTGTTAGCCATGGATAAGCCAGGTTGTCAGGTGAAGAGACCTGAGATTCGGGTGAACCAGCTTCCCGCCATCCCAGGGTTGGGTCAGGAGCTCTGGATCCACTGGAAGACCCATGGGCTCCACACATGCCATTTCCACCAGAACGAGGAACCAAAACTGTCTGGGCCAACTCGAGGCTATGAGAAGGACCTGAACATTTTGACCCTGGACAGAACCCTGGGGTTCAGAGGGAACGGGGGAAATACATAGAGGAGACCCCACAGCCAGAACGCAGTCATGGCATCCCCCCTGGAGTGGGTGCCCAGCCCCAGGAACGAGAAGTAGCAAGGACACTTTCTATTCTTTGCTGTGGCAAAGAGGTCCACTAGGGGATAACCTCACTTGTGGAAAATCTGAGTCAGGACCTCGTCTTTCAGAGCCCATTCGTGGGCTCCAAGGGACCTGCTCAAGGCATCTGCCAACAAGTTCTTGCACCCCGGCAGATATTCCGCCTGGATATGAATCTCGTGCTTTATGCACAGGTCCCACTATAGCAACGCCTCTCGACACAGAGGGGACGACCGGGCCCCCCCTTGTTTATGTAGAACATGGCCGTCATGTTGTCCAGGTGTACGAGGACTGATTGGCATGAGACTGATGCCAGGAACGCCTCGCAAGCTTTCCTGACTGCCCTCAGCTCTCGAACATTTATGTGCAGGGCCCACTCCAAAGGGGTCCACATCCCCTGCGTCCTGTGGTGGCCCAGGTGTGCGCCCCCAGCCGAGATCAAAAGAATCCGTGACTAACGTCACTGAGGGGAGCTCCATCTGAAAGGGCACCCCACTGCATACCATGCCCTCTTGTGTCCACCATAGTAGGGAAGCAAGCACGTCGCAGGGCACTGTCAACGTTGTGTCACATTGACCCTTGGAGTGATTGAACGCTTTTGCTCAGGGGCCTGAGCCTCAGTCTGGCATGGCGAATGACATACCTACATGCCGCCATGTGCCCTAACAGTCTCAGACACGTGCAAGTGGAGGTCAAGGGAAAGCTGGTGACCATGCCCACTATGGTCACAAACCTGTCGTTGGGGAGGAAAGCCTTCGCCACCCTGGCTCTTGGGTTCCCTGGCCTTCAGGGATGGACCTGGCTGCAGAAGCTTCTCTTTCTGTGCGGCAGCCTGGATGACCAGAGATCCGGGGAGAGGCTGGGAGTATAAGTGCTCATGCCCCAACTGCGGGACATAATAGTGCCTCTCGACCCCTTTGAGGGTGGGGTTTAGAGAAGCCGGCGTTTGCCAGAGGGTGTTCGTAATTTTTGCCTCCGTCTTGTTAAGGGCGAAGGCCAACCTGGCAGGAGCATCCTCCAAGAGTATGTCCACCATAGGGTCCAGCTCCTCCACCACAGGCTCTACCTACCATGACCCCTAGATTCGAAGCCAGGTGGCGAAGAACCTCCTGATGAGCCCCGGAGTCCATTGTTGGCATAGACGGGGCTGGGTCTGCCAGGGCCTCGTCCGGGGATGAGGACAAGGATGACTCTTGGGCCAGTACTGGTTCCGGTGGCGCCTCGGGTTGAAAGGCCGGGTGGGTGACTCCTGCGGGGGCTGAGGGCGGTGCCACCACCATAGCCCATGGGTCTGCTGCCTCAACATGAGCACTACCCTCCCCGGGAGTTGGAGGAGGTCTGGAGAGATGCTAATGGAGTACTTCTGGAAGGTGGCAAAGGACCCTGTCACTGGTGGTACACCAAGGGCATCCAGAAAGGCCACTGAGGTTGAGGCTGAGGCGGACCCTGTCGTTGGGGAGGAAAGCCTTCGCCACCCTGGCTCTTGGGTTCCCTGGCCTTCAGGGATGGACCTGGCTGCAGAAGCTTCTCTTTCT